GTCTGAGACAATGCTGAAATAATATGAAATTGTTTTAAAGAAAAGTATTTAATGAAATTGGAATTATGTAAATTTCGTGGTCTTGGATAATTTTGGCCAAATTTGTAATTCTGGCCGAAATTAACATCACGTGACACCGGGAAAATAGTTTAGCCACCGGGCAAAAAATTTTTTATCGGCTGGCATGAAAATTTAATGTTACACAATTTGTAATTCTGGTCGGCGTTATGAATTCTGGCCAGAATTATTGCCGATCATTTGTAAATCCAATCTGGTTTCCGGTTTCTATCCGGATTATCTGATCCGGATTCAAAATCTGGGTCAATCCGGATATAATCCGGATTTTTTTTTTGTGTAATCCGGATGACGGTTTTCATCCGGGTCGAAGCACTACATTACGATCATCTAATTTGAAACATATTCATGCGTTCTTCTACGATCATCTATTTTGAAACATTATTCATTCGTTCGTTCGTTCTTTTTTTTTTTTGATTACTAATTTTTTTAAGAAAATGACGACTATTTCAAATACTGATACAGACAAATATGTTCAATGGATTGAAGATGGTATTACTAAAGATTATATTAATTACTATGATTATAATGAATTTCAAGAAATTCAATGTATAGGTTTTGGTGCATACGGTAGAGTCTATCGAACTACTTGGGAAAGTTCGGACACTGTTGTTGCATTAAAGTCTTTTGAATTTAATAACTGTGTTATGAAAGAAATTGTTAATGAGGTTAGTTATATAAATTATATAGGAAAAATGTATCTGTAACATCCTGTTACACGTTTTTATCTGTAACAACCTCGGAATTGTCACGTGACATTACACAAATTTCCAAGAAAGGAAATATTTTCCCCATCAAAATTGGGGAAACCCGCTGCACAAGTGTTACACAAAGTTCCAAAAAAGGAAATTTTTAGAGTGTGTCATTAATTCCGGCCGAAATTATACTTTTGTGTTAAATCTTGCAATTAATCTAAAATTAGCGTTAATTTTGGTCAAAATGATATCAAATCCGTGACATTACGTAGTAATTGTGACGCTACACGAGTCGCGTGATGACGCGTTATTGAAAAACTTATTTGTTACCTTTATTTGTCACTTGTTACACGCGTATCATCTTTAATTAATTCTCACACTATTCTCACGGTATAACACTTCGCTCACTTTATTTACTTCGTCTTTTTTTTACAAGTTCTTTTTTTTTACCCTTTACAAAACGAAGTATCATATCGAGATGGACGTATCTGAATTGAATATCCAAGAATCCATTATCATGTTTATGACACCTCATGAGGGTATGTAAGTTCTTTATTTATGTACTTTGAGTAGGTACAATATCATTTCTTATTCTGGAACATACAAACCCAGAAGAGGAATCAGGAAAAGTATGCCAGGATGATACTAATATGGGTATGTTGTGTTTCTTATGATATACCTAATTTATTTTGCAATATTCATACTTTTCATTTTCTCATATAGAACAGGTTGAGCCGAGCGATATAGTACCTCAGAACCTAGAAAGTGAAGGTATGATTATTAATTTCTCTATGTAAAGATATAACAATCGGCTAAAAGCACTAACAAACAATATCACTTTACCTTGAAGATTCAACTACAACAAATCTTTCCATAGGCGATACCTTTAGGTCGTGGGGAGATGTGGACGGAATCATGGAAGCCTATGGCAAAAGACATGGATTTACGATTATAAAGAAACGATTAGGTCGGCGTGAAGATGGGAGTATTAAACATCGTAGCTTTGGATGTGAATTCGGCGGCCGTTATCATCCACAAAAACAAGTTGATATTAATAGTCATTGAAATCGTAAATCAAAACGCCAGCAATGTCCATGGAATGCAAATTTCAATTGCCCTCAAAACTCTCAAAGCGTATCTCTTACCACTTTCAATAATTTGCATAACCATGCGTTATTTCCTGCTGATACTGAAAATTATTCATCAAAATACCGTTGCATTCCTGATGATGTCCTTAAAGAAGTCCAATTTCTCACCGAACATGGAAATTTACCGATTACCACTTAACGAAAGTTGTTGAAGGCAAAATTTCCGACTATATCTATTCTCGACTGTGATCTCTCTAATGCAATACAAAAATATAAGGTTAGGCCAGATGTAATCCATGATGCATCTCGCTTACTAAAAATACTAATTGAGCATAAGTCAAACGATCCCGGATGGTTCGTTGATTTTCAGCTTGATCAAGATAAGAGACTTACTCGGCTTTTTTGGATGTCTCCGTCCCAAATTACTCTTTGGTTAGAGTATCATGATGTTATTTTAAACGATAATACCGCTAAGACCAACCGTTATCAAATGCCATTATCACTTTTCCTTGTCGTTGATAACAATACTAAATCACGACTTGTAGCTCAAGCCCTTGTATCTGACGAATCGGTAGAATCTTATAAATGGATTTTGGAGTGCACAAAAAAAGCAACAATGACAGAACCTTTAGTGTTCGTCACAGATGCCGATCCCGCCATGGACGCAGCGATCACACAAATATACGAGACAACTCACCCGATTCATTGCATTTTCCATATCAGCGAAAATCTACCAAAGAGTGTTAAATCAAAGCTCAGCGATCAATATGAAAGTTTCGTTCAGAGCTTTTTTTCATGTCGTAACAGTTTGTGTGAAGAACTTTTTTATGAAAGGTGGTCTAAGCTTATAGAAAAATATCCTAGTATAAAGGATTACCTGATGAGAGCTCTTTATCCTAGCCGTCAAGCGTGGGCTCGTGCATTTACGTCAAAAATTTTTACCGCAGGAATTCAAACTACTTCCCGCGTCGAAAGTTACAATAATATAATCAAGCGTGAGTTGTCAGCAAACAGTACATTATGCGGTCTCGCAGATGCTCTTGATGCATGGTTTAAATATGAAGCTCAATGGAATCGGTTTTTTGAGTACCGCACTTTATCAACTTGCGTGGGGATTACAACGGTTAGTCAAGACCTTTTTCCCGAAGTCGATAAAATAATGACTGAATACCTAACCCCACAAATATTGTCTGCTGAGCGTATGGAAATGGCACAATGCCTTTACTTTGTACCAAGTCAAGTGGAACCAAATATTGTTGAGGTATTTAGTGTCTTTTTTATATGTTGAAATGTTAACGAAATCTAATACTATTGCTATATAGGATCCAGAAGTTGGTGTAATGGAAGGATGTGTTGAAGATTCATATGATGCTAAGCAAATTCTGTTGAAGTCAATGATTGCTGAAGTTGGTGAAGAAATCATTCAAGAAGTATGGAAGATTACCGATATGCGACCTGAAAACAAAAAGCATATATATTTCGTGGTGATAATCGATTCCATTTCTTACCTTTGTTCTTGCATGTCTAATATATCCCGCTGCATTATATTTCGCCACTACTTTCGAATAATGATGACTTCACAAGTTGCAGGATTTCAAATCCAAATGATACCTTCGAGGTGGTATATCGATAATCAGAAAGATAAGGACGCAGCAGCAGAAACTTGTTGTTTTGTAAACACAGAAGCTGCTCAAAATTTTTCGGGTGTAGTATTCACTCCAAATCCTTCTACTGTTCCTACAACCGTTACTAATGCTTTACGTTGTGCGGCAAAGAAAAAGGTCAAATATGGAGAAGTATGGGGACTTGCGCGACAGGCAGCTCAACTTTCTGTTGAACTTGACAGTCATAATGAAATGGTTTGTTGGTTAAAACAGTTTATTATTCGACACAAGGAAATAATAATCACGCGAAACCAAGAACTTATGGAACGTTCTGAAGTCCAAGTTGATGATAATAAAGAAAATGAACTTCAACAAGTTGAAAATCCATTAGTTTCGCGGCGTAAAGGACGCCCAGGAACAAAGAGGTTTAAATCATCAACCGAAAAAAAGTCTTGCGCAAAATATACCTGCAAAACGTGCGGTCAAGCAGGACATAATAGTGCGAGGTGTCAGAATCGGTAATATTATCTTTTCATTGTATTTCTTTATCTTGATTCGTTTTTGACACTTATATAATGATACTGTATATATCATGTTTGCAGAAATCGTTGACGTTTATAGAAGAGTTAAGTTTCTTTAGATAAAGGACGAAGTTTAAACAATTGTGCGTTAATACTTGTACTGCTTATTTTATTTTTGCGCGGATGATCATTACCGTATAATTCTAAGCCACCCGCGTTCAGTCATATGATTTTTTACAATAATAAAATTTATAATAAATTTATTAAAAAAAAACAAAAAAAACGAAATAAAAATACATATAAATTATTTTATCCGACCTAACTTTTCGAGGTAGTTACAGATAAGATGTGTAACAGGATGTTACGAATAAGTTTATCCAATTATATATTATTAATTGTTAATTATTTTTCAAAAAATATATTTTTCATACTTTTTCAGATAATGTTATTGAATAAAGTTAATTTACATAAAAATATTATTCAATTTTTTGGTATTACTAAATGGACTAAAAGTAAGTAATATCTTAAATATAATAATATCTTTTTTTTTTTTTTAAAAAAAAAAAGATTTGATAAAATTAATTAATTTTATTTTAGATAACGAAGATAATATAAATTCAGATTATTTGCTTATTCTTGAATATGCAGATAGCGATACATTGAGAAATTATTTAAAAAAAAATTTTAATGGATTAGATTGGGATATTAAATTACAATTCGCCGTTCAAATTGCTAGTGCAGTCACCTTTATGCACAAGAAAGATATTATTCATCGTGATTTAGTTAGTATATTTTCAACTATCATTCTACATAAACAAATCAAAGTATTAAATTCCAATTTTTATTTATTAATTAGCATTCTAAAAATATATTAATTCATCAAAATATGATTAAAATAGCTGACTTTGGACTTTCACGTAGAATAGCAGAAGTATCAAATAAGAAAAATGTTATCGGAATGCTTCCTTATATTGATCCACAACTTTTAAATAATAAAACAGATGATGATAAAAAATATAAAGCAAACAAGAAATCGGATGTATATAGTGTTGGTGTACTCCTATGGGAGATATCATCTGGACTAATACCATTCGAGTCTTACGATACTTTTCATCAACAACCAAAATTAATGGTGGAAATTTTAAGTGGAAAAAGAGAGACGCCAGTCGCTGGTACGCCAATCGATTATTTAAATATTTATAAAAGTAAGATGCTTCATTATTAAATTTTGGTATCTTATTTATAAATATTAATTCTTTTTTTTTATTCATACTTGTTTTAGAATGTTGGGAAGATAATCCGGATGATAGACCAAATATTCAGCAAGTACTATCTGATCTAAAATTAATCAATATGAATACAAATGAAATGGAAATTTGTGAGAATACATTTGAAAATGATATAACACATAGTAGTAATAGCGTTGATAATAATAGTGATTTGAGTATACATTATTCATTACAAATTTAATTTAATAAAAAAGGAATCAAAAATTATTTTCGACTTTATGTTATATTATGTGAAAAAAATTTTTATTCTTTCTAAAGATATCAAGAAATCTTGATTTTAATAAATAAAATTTTGTAAATTAAATATAAATTTATATTTGATAATAAAATAACTATCTAGTGTGATAATTGTGTGATCATTCTCTTTTCTCTCCTTAAGAACGTTATTTTTATCAAATAAATAAATGACTTCTATAATCATAATCATCAGTCTGACAGTCTGATCGAACCAGTTAAAAATGTATTAAAAATAAGGCCCATTTCTCGGTAATATTTTTAGTACTTACCGCACGTTGGTAAGAAAAAACAAGTAAGTAATAAAATGAGCTTGAAAAAAAAAATAAATTTTGGATTCAAAATGGCAAAAAAATTAATAAACTCTCATGAAAATGTTTGAGTATTAATAATTCGTGACAAAAAAATAAAATAATTTCATTACTACCATAATATGTATGTTTCAGAATTATTACTAGTTTATCTTTTATTCATTATAACTAATCTTCTAGAAGCGTTGATGTTAACTCGAAAGGGTAAATGTTGACTTCAACATCATATTATCTTCTTCAAAACAGGAAAATTACTGTAAATGAATTTGTATAAATTTATTTTATATGTGAAGAAACATATGATTAATTAAAACATTTAATAGCCTGGATAGCTGGAAAACTATTTGTTTACAATATATGTCATTATCGCAGAAAATTATTTATTTGTAAATATATCACGAATAAAATACAGCTATTTGCAAAAATAACGGACCACCTAATTCGATTTTCGACTGCGTATGAAATTTTCATACGCAGTCATCTAAACTCATTTTGAATTTTCATATCAGTCATCCCGCAGTTATATCACAATAATTCTATACTATGCGTGTATAACTCTGCGTATGAAAATTTTATACGCAGTCGAAAATTGAATTAGGTGGTCCGTTATTTTTGCAAAGATTTTATATACAATTTAGTACTACAATTTGCTAAAATTAATTATGAGTATATAATTCAAGTAGCATTATAGATGAGAAACAACATGTTAAGAAGACTAAATAATTTTTAACCCTAAATTTACTTAGTCGTTCCTTTTGAATTAAGACACTCCCGGTTATAAGTAAGTTATAAAATGTTAACAAGGTGTCATTAGTAGTATCATAACGAAAGAAAGTTTTCCATAAATCAGATTATATCCACAGATACGATCAAAAATACATGAAGAGATGTCTCGATGAAGAGGCTCCGGAATCGATATCAAATCCAATTAAAGAAAATATTACACCGAAAGAGTAGTGGATATCATCAACGATTTTAGAAAAGAAGAAAGATATCAAGAAATTATACAATCCTCATTAATCAACAACGGTCATATTGACATTTGTGGAACTGAAGAAGGGAAAGCAATGCACAAATATTTTCATTATTTAGACGCTAAAATAAAAATGATGAAAGAAATGAATAATTGCGTTCATACAGTGTAAGTATGCCAGGGTTTTAGCAAGCTCGTGGTTAGAACACCAAGGTAAGAACGAAGTGATTCCTGCAATAATTGAGCAAAGAACTGTATCGAATGAAGGATTCAAGACACGCTTCTTGCCTTCTTTTATACCATCATTTTCCACTTGTGTCTTTTGTGGTGGGTCGGATAACCTTGCCGAGCAATTAGCGCTGACTTCATGATATTTGTTAATGCAGAAAAGGAGAGATCGTTAAATAAGAAGAAAGGCAAGAATAAACAAAAAAAGTAAATCAAACATAGTGTTAATATAGTTTTAAATAGGGTTACAAAAGTGTTATATATTTTTTTACATAATACAACCATATAGAATATGGGTTGGTAGATAATGTATAATTTTATACTGCTATGCATTTAAAGAATGAAATGCGCGTTACCATAAAAATAAAATAAAATAAAATAAAATCAGATTATATCCTCCAATGATTTCATTACTATCTTTCACTTTAATAATCGTTACAGTATGAAACGGTAATTTCCAATCTATCAATTCCATTTCGAGATTATTTCAGCATGTATGTTGTATTGTGGTTGTTTTTTTTAAAATTAATTTCCTGGTTCTGAATCATGATATATATTAATAATTTCTTCCCATTTACTAGTGATGCAGTTGGAACTGTCCCAATGAATTGGCCGGCATATAGCGGATTGTGACCACAGTTTTTGCAAAACCGTGTGAAACCCAATGTGCCGTTAATGTTATTAATGCCGTAACTTTTACTGTGGCCAATGACGCCGTAGAATATAAATAGTCTAAGTAGATAGCATAAAATAGTTTAATGGTATACATAGCTTAACAGTATAAATTTTTTAAATCTCTCCGAATTTGTTATAAAAATTTAAAGTTTCCATACTGATTTAAATAACTTCTTTGATTATAAATTTCATGGAACAATAATTTTATTAGTAATGAAGGAGAAAAAGAATGAATAATTAGAATGATATGATATATTATAAAGTATAAAATAAAGTATGTAAATATGTTTTCAAGAAAATTTAAATTTTAATAAATATTACACACAAGTTTTGTGACTATTTACTGCACATATACCAGTTTACGGCACATATACCAGTTACGGCAACATATACCAATTACGGCACATATACCAGTTACGGCGGATTTACCAGTTCCAATTTGCCGTATCTTAAAGTAAAGAGTTATAACTAGTTATAACTCAGTTGTGATACGGCTCATCCCAATGTGATCGAGTTCCAACTGCATCTCTACCATTTACCATTTACTATGGTCAAAGATAAACCTACGTCATACTTATGATCACAAAATGGTTGTTAAAATGGTCACGAATAACTCGGATATCTGTAATCTGATATACGGATTGCACAATTTAATAAAATACGGATGTCGGATAAATTTATGTGATTTCAATCCGTGACGGATTATTTACGGCAGTTGAATCGTATTTCTAATTAAATTCGTTTATTACAGTAATATCCAAAATAAACAAGACACTTGAAAATTTTTGCCGAGAACTTGTTGGGTATCAGGTTGTCGGGTCCAATCATTTTACATAATAATCACGTGATATTGCCTCTTTATAAAATTGATTGGATGACCAGAAACCCGGCATGCCGACATCTCGGCAACAAAATTTTCAAGTGTCCCGTTTATTTTGGATATTGCTATAATTCACCGGATCCTGTTATAATTTATTTCATTGTAGCTGAACGCCTTGATTAATCCAGCGGATCTTTATTTATATAATAAACAATCGGATATTTAATTTTTCTGTTTCGTTGTAGCTAAATGTTGACCTAGTTTTTGCTATCGTACAAAACGTATCTAAAAAAAATTTGCGAATATTGAGAAAAAGAATAATATAAAGGAAAAAGTTTATGGTAATGAGATTATGAACCCGACCTAGCTCCACATTGATCCATGAATGTATTAATGTCGTTGTTCATTCTTTTTTAATAAAGAAGATATTATGATAAATAAGCGATTCATCTTTTCGATAAAACTTTAAATAACTAACATCGTTCTAATTCATTTTGTTCTTAACATTCCAACAATATTTTCTAAATTCAAAATTCCTAATCTACTGTGTAACAAAAAAATGTCAAATAGAATGGTAAATCATAATAAACAAATACTATATTCAATACATAAATCCTTATTTGTGTTTTAAAATTTTCTTGGTTTAACTTTAACAAATAATTCTTTACAAACTGTAAGTAAAGCAGAATATAATTAAGTGGTGCATTTGGATCAGCCAATTCAATATCATATTTTCTATAAATTAAGGTTAATAAACATTTTAATTCTATCATTGCTAATTTTCTTCCAGGACAGGCTCTAATTCCACCTCCAAAAATTGAGAAAGCATTTTTAACGTGTTGTTTTCAAGAAAATATTTATCACTATCATCAAAAACCATCAGAAACGAATTTTTCAGGATCAGTCCAATAATCTTTTCGTTTCATTATTGAGCAAACATATCCTCCAATCGTATCTTTTTCAACATTTACACGGTCAAGTGAATAATTTACAGGAAAATGACGAGATACTTCCTTAATAACTGCATCGCAATATTGTAATTTATCGATATCATTATGCGTTATGGGTTTTGTAACGTTCTTTTCAAGAACTTCATCAAATTCTTGTCGTAACCGTTGTACCACTTCGGGATGATGTCCGAGATGATATACGATAAATTCGAAACCTAAAATTGTAAATGAATTTTTTGAAATTAAGTGCGTAATATACTAGTATTAATTTTAATATTTTAATGAAGAAATTTTTCACTCACAGTATCAGTTCCTCCGCCTATAGCATCGAGTATATACCCAAAATTTCTTTGTCACTTATCGGTCTTAACAAATCCGCATCAACATCACCATGTTAATATCGCGTGGTGTATTCGTGGTTATAAATGATGTCAACATATCATGGTGAAGAGATTGATTTAATTGTGTATTCTCAATTTCAGTCCTTCTTTCTTTAATAATTTTATATATTTTTTCGTATAGATAATCTCTATTTTTTAATAAACTAATTGCTTTTCAACGAATGAAAGGAACATAATGACGCATAAATCTATTAAAGTAAAAAAAATAAATAGATCCTCTTATTAATGTTTCAAGTGATTGAATAAAATTTTCAGATTCTTTGGTTTTTTCTTTTTCTTTTTCATATAAATCATACTTTCGGGTACGAGGGTATGGTAATAAGAAGCAACAGAATTATTTCTTTTTCCTATCGAAATTTTTAAAATCATATCATTTGAAAATCTATACATTCATTTTATAAGATCCAATTCATAATTTTCTCCAAGTTTATCCAAAAAGATTCCATTTTACTCCATAATTCATTCATCCATTTCAACAGCCTGATAATTAAAACTTGGGGTCATCATAGCTTGAGCGAAAAATTGACGATTATATTTCCAAGATTTTGGATCAATATTATTAATTATTCCTGTGCCATCAATTCCATATTCTTTAACTCCTTTTTGAAACAATGTACTGTATCTTCTAAAAGGATATTTAGTTTTTGAAGGTATATTCATATTTTCAATTAAATCAGTATGACATAAGATGATTGTACGTTGTCCTGTTAAGCTTATTTCAAACATATCTCCATATTTTTTGTGTAATGACGTTATCATTAAATTCATATCCAAATTTTTTGAATATTACCAAGTACCAACTATTGGAAGTGGGAATGGGCCAGGTAAAGGATTTAGACGGAAATAATGATAATAATATCGAGATACATAAAAAATTATGAAAGTTACGAGAAGATAAAAAATATCGGAAACCCCTGATGAAAAAACAATCGTCAATATCATTGTTGAGAAAAAAGAAATCGACGAGAAAAAAAAAATTTGAATATTTATCATTATATTATTGTGTAAATAATTTTAACTAATTATCTGGTTTACACAAATAATAGAGTTTGTCAATGAGGGCTCTTTCTCGGAGAAAATTTTCTGACATAAGTTAAAAAAAAATGGAAGCTTATCATATGAGTAATGAGTTCTTTTATTAAAAAGTGAAGAAATAGATAGGAAGTATAAAGTAAAGAAATAATTACCTTAAGAAACTGGCCACGGCAGGCGCAGCAAAATAACAGCAGATCGGAACGTAAAACGAAACACAGACTCTGGAAATATGATACAAGAAACACGTGACATAATGATATATCGAAGAATTTTTTAATAAGAATCAAGAAAATATTCAATTATCAAATAGTAAGAGCCGAAATGAATCCAGATACATAACTCAAAAGGTTTTTTCTGCTGTGAATAGATACACGATTATATGGTATAAAGGTGAATGGACATTTCCACAATGTTGTTGATGAGATCAATGGCAACTAATAAAAGAAATTAAGAAGATAACATAAAAAAGATGAGGAACGCCATTTAAGAGTTGATTTGATGGAATATATGACGCTAAATACGGGCAAATTCTTCAAGATCGACAAAAACAAATGGCGATCGCTTCAAGGAAAAGCGATAGAAAAATCAATTTAAGTTTAAGAAGAAAAGATGGATGATACTTTGAAAGTGATAAAAATAGATCATTTTTGGATTCCCTAAACAAGTTATCAATGGATGTCATCGTACAAGAAAATGATCGAGTTGGAAAAAACGAGAACGGAAAAGTTAATGATGATGCGGAAGGTGAGAAGTAGTATAAATGTATAATAATAGTGATATATCGACGCTCGTTATCCGCCAATATCGTGAGATAATACCATACCTACGGCTATAAATATACGTGAATGAGAACTTGAGTCGTCAAAAAGAAATCACAAGTTCCAAGATGTATTCGGAGGAAGTTATAAAAGTACGAAAAGAAGAAAAACAATGAACTTATCAAATCAAATACTTAAATCAATAAATAGATGGGAAATAGAAAATTACAAACCATCGAAAAATTTAAAAAGTCAAAAATATAAGAAATTAACATGTAGAGTTTTACATTCTTTATTAAATTTTTATATTTCGTATACCTGTATTTAGTTTTTTTTTTTAGTGGACCATTTGTTGTTATGTACGATCTTTGTAATCCTTTGCTGCTGTATTTGTATAGGACACATGAACCTCAACTTAGTTAAAGTATTTGTAAAGGTGAATGTCCTGACATCGTTGAAAATACTCCATAATATTATGTAGATTTGATGAAAAAGTACTGGAATGAAGATCGGCCATCTTCTAAAGAAGTTTTAAAAATAGAAGAAATGCGTGTTACCAGTTACCAAAAAAAATACATCTATCAATGAAACCTTATGTAACATGACTAGTGGATGAACTATTTATCAATTCGTATTATAATAAAATCACGTTAAAGTCGTGGCATTTAGTCATCATACTATCATACATTGAGAGTAAACGACTTAAAAATTGGATGTGATCATCAACCAGTCATCGATCATAGTATGGAAATTGTGCTATTAATTTATTAACATCTTCTAGATTAGCCATGTTTGGTGGATTATTTTGTAAGTTTAAAATAATTTATCGCGAATTTATTTCTTGAGTCTTCCATTTATATCGGTTAAATGCACAGGCCTGGTTAAATTCTGCCAAGTCAACCTCAGCTTTATGCCTCAGAATTATTATCTGAAGAGCACATTTTTCTTTCATTAATCTTTTGGCCTAAGCCACCATACCCGTCGCTCCTTGTGTTAGCATCTGAGTTCTTATTCTCAGGAACTTTAGGAAACAGTAGTGAGAAAGTAAGTATCAAAAATTTTTTAAATTAATAAGAATAAGCTAAATTCAGTAAAATATATAATACTTCTGTGCTTTAAGAATTTAATTTAATGAATTAACGTATTAAAGACATCATATTCAATTGATTCTCGAATATTAATTAACGAAAACGAAAACTTATTTAAAATCGAATTTTCATCAGTGCTTCAGATATTTCATATTGTGTTGATAGGAAATATATCATTTATTAGTACAATATTTGGTGTATTATTATATGAAAGTAACTCCAAATGCTTTGTTGGTACATCATAAATATCAAAGTTACATAAAACCGATCATAATACTTTGAAATACTAATAAACGTAATTTATCAAATATCAAAATTAATTTCCTCGCTCATATAATCTATATTTTAAAACAAAACGTAATTAATTAAAAAAAATATTATTGTGTTAAATGCAATTGATACTTACCACTATCGCTATTACCATATTTGCTAAGGTTAATATTATTGTCAACAAGTTCATTTGTCAAACAATCTAGAAGAGGCAAATTTTTTTAAATTATGATTAACTAATTTAGATGGGATATAAAGAATATTTCTTTCTTCGAGTTTTTAAACTTCTGGTAGATTCTGCAGATTTTATCATAACGCTCAGAGGTCTGCTTTTATATATGGCACCTGGGTTATTTATTTTTATAGGCCCAATATCTGCTGAATTTATATTTCCATTTGGATTAATACTTCCATAATATGAACCATATAAATAAAACGGCTCATCATTCCAAATACTTGAAATGTTTGTTTCTAATTCAGTTGCTGTTGGTCTCTTATTCGGATTAGAATGCCAACATTCTTTCATTAATTCAATATATACTTTAGATGCATTTTCTACAATTGGAGGACGAATTCCATCACATATTTTAATAATAAGATCTGTATCATGACTTTTATCCCAAAAAGGTTTTCTACCTGTCATTAGTTCCCACATAATCATACCAAAACTATATATATCTGAAGCTTTAGTATATTTTTGTCCTCTAAAGACCTCTGGTGCAACATATGGAATAACACCATAAATCTCATTATTATCATTTAATGATTCAATCGCTGATTTGCTTAATCCCAAATCACCTGTTATTGCTGCTGTTATTGATGGATAGAAATTATGGATTAAAATATTTCCACTATGATAATCTTTGTGAATAATATTTGCATCATGTATGTTTTTAAGTCCAGATATTATATCTTGCAAAATTTGTATCTTTTCATACCAATTCATATTAAAAAAATTATTTGCTATATAATATGTTAAATTTCCTAGTTCATAATATTCGGTAATTATCATGAAATTTTTGGTAAGAGGATTTTGAGTAATACCATAATAAGTGTTGATATTATTAAAATTACTTGTATTTGTACTGTTACAAACTCTTTTCACATATTCATCAGGTTGCCAATTTAAAGTAAAATTATAATATATCTTGAGCTATGATAATTATAAATTTAATTAATAAATTTACATTAAAATTAATAATAATTTAAATTGACATTGGAATACTGTACCTCATTTAGCTCCTTAGAATTTATGTTCTCAGAATTATTAAGTTCCTTAAGTGCAACTGTTACTTCACCATAACGATTATACTTTTGTTTTTTTTCATTCCAATCGACTATTGGACCATCAATCCAAGTAGCCTTATAAATTTTACTAAATCCCCCTTCAGCGTTAAATTCTACATTTTTGAATCTGTCATAAAGAACAAATTCCATTTTCCCTTCTCTTTTATCACTATTATTAGTTAATGTGTACCTTACAAAATTATCAATAACATCATTTCCACTTAGTGGTATCGTTCTTGCCTTATAACATGGGTAACAAATTTGATCAGTTTTATAGAAAATTTCTCTTATTTGATTGCATTCATTACATATCCTAAATATTGTTTCAGGTGTAGTTCGTGTTGAATGACTTAAAGGTATATTATTAGATAATAAAAAGTCAATTTTTAGTTTATAGTTATTTTGTTGGTCCATAATTTCATAATTTTTTATTTTAGAACAATCCAATTATAAAGTCAAATAAAAATAATATCTTAAATTCCGTATTTAAAGTACAAGGTAAAAAGAATTTTTTTAATTTTTTTAAAAAAAATACTCGTTTCAAAGGACACTAGTAATACGTTATATTACATGTGCCAATATATTTTGTTACTACTTAGCAAAGTAACCTAAAGTACTACCTATCACTACATTTTGTCTTACATTTACTTATATTTGTGACACAGTTTCAGTAATAAGCTTATTTTGTCATATTTTCAAAAAATGGTTGTACGAAATTTTTTAATAGCACAGTATATAATAATACATATATATAATTTGCTAGTACAATTGTGCTACCATAACCTTTTATTATTTATATGGTATCAATAATCGTGTCACGAATTTCAGTTCAAAGATAATTCCTAATTTTTTTTTTCATTATGACAATTTTATAATTTTTGTTTAAAATGTCTTATTAACCAAATCATTTAAGAAAATCTTTTGTGTGAAATGAGTAATTACAATGTACAGTAGATGTATTTTTACCATATTTCTTAATATCATTTACATAAATTTTTTTAATGAATCGCATAACCAGAATATAATAATTAATATTTAATATGGAAAATAGAGATAGGACTGATTTAAACGTTTCACACGAGGATAAATCAATTATTTCTAATTTTCAAATTTTATTTAAATTTGTTAATGATAATAATTTTGAAATAGTTAGGGAGAGATAAAGAAAACTATAATTCTGCAATCAATTCTTTTCATGAAGGTTTAACTGTTCGACAAAAGAAACTTTATGATGATACGGTAACAACTTTGAAGAATAAATCAGATGAAGATCCTTATTTAAGATTCCATAGTGAATCAGATATAGATCTTATATTAGGCAATAAATAGTGCAAGGTACTATATTATTATGTATTATCAGATTAGAATTTATATATAGAATATTTTTCCACTTCCTTTGTCTTACAAATTTTTATTTTTGAAATGTCATACATATAAATATATACTTATTTTTTTATAGAGTATAGTGAATAAATTTTATATTTTTAATAAAAAAATTACTATGGACTGTTATGACAGCATTAGCTAATAGTTCTTATAGTACTGGTAAACCTTCGATATCGTATATAATTGCTTTTGCAATCGGGTCATCATCCTTCTCTCGAGAAAATTTTTCATTCTTTTTCTTTTCATCAAATATTATTTCGTGCTTTTTTATTTTACCTCCAAGCTTAAATTTGATATCTAAAGAGCTTTTAGGAAGTATGTAACCATTATTTTGCAATGCATAATATGAAGATGCCAATACCGATGGTACAATACGATGATTATTCGAACCTATACTATATTTATTTAATGTAGTAACTACAGTATTAAAGAATTGGCGTGTATCAAGTCTTAAAGAAGCTCATTAATTGTTGTTGTCATTTCATCAGGTTTATCATTAATTGTTACAAAAAATTTTTCGGGAGAGCGGTGTTAAAGTCAATTTTGTCTCAGTCATTCATGATTTATTTAAATATTACTATAACTTTTATTGAATTGTCGTATTAATGTATTATATTAATTGTACAAATAAAAAAATAAATTACAAAGTATGCATTGTTTTAATAATAATATAAATTTTATATACTGGAAAAATAATGATTAACCTAATGATTTTTTAATAAATTAAGAATTAAATAACAATTTTTTTATCGATTAGATTTGTTCTTTATGTATTTTAAAATTATGTCGTTTTAAATTATTAAAAAATTTATTATATTGACAAATTAATGCGTGCTTGAGTTTATTTCATTTACTTTTTGTTTATATGGTTTATTCTCTTTTGATATATTTCTATTATTTTTGAAATTTCACGTGATGAACAATTTTATTATTCATCCTCACAGTTTTAAATTTTTCACTTCTAAATAAGATAAACGCATTTGGTGTTTTCTTTATGCAATTTACTTTAAGACTATCCAATACATATGAAGGAAGTAAATTATCGACTGATTAATTATAATTATATATAGGATGAATTTATGATTTGTAAAAGTATGAAATATTGAAGAATTAAATTTGCAGTTCAAATCAGGTATTCTGTATTTACGCACTAATTTGTTACATGTTCAATTTGCATTATTTATTATCATACCTTATTTATTACTGACACCATTATCATATTCATTCAAATTAGGAGATATAAAATAAATATTACATAATAATAAAGGAAATCTTTTTTATTTTTAATATTTATAAAAGAAATTAAATGTATTTAAATATCTATATTAATAAAAAGATCAAAGTTTATTGTTCATAAGGCTAATCTGTATGATATTTTATTTTATTTTTCACTACTTGATCAGTACAATTATTACTGTTGCTACAACAATCCACACCTTGGTCCTACTTTAAACAGCTTCAAAACTCATTAACCAGTAAGCAGTAATTATATAAAAATCAAAGATATAATATATTTCATCCTTTGACCTCTCAGTAATTAATAAAGATTATTAATTTTAATTGCAAATTCCAAATACTCATTTTGAAACTTTTATTTTAAAATTTATCAAAAAGATCCCACCTATTTCTAATAAAGGTTACCATAAAATTTTCAACTTTATACATAAATTTATCTTACTTTTTATTGTAATTATATTGGTAATTAATCAAAAAAGGAAAAAAATCAAAATAACGCAGTATAACATTTTCTTTTTTGTATATAATATATTTATATATGAGAATGATATTCATCATCAGACTCTTCTTGAACAAAATATTCAGTAGTAAGTTCGCGACTTATAGAATATTCTTGTGAATGAGATTGTGTAATAGGAGTAGTATTTACTGGCTCTTGTTCTAAATTAGCTTCGTTTGCTTTTACAAATTCCAACATATCATTTTTTAATTGTTGATCATCAATATTGGGTACAGTACTATAATTTTCATCCTTGTTTACTCTATAATATTCGTCAATACAATAAATCCATTGAGATATAATATTTTCAAGCATTATTACAGTTGGTCTATTAGAAGGATCCTCATCCCAACATTTTTTCATTAAATCTTTATAACATTTTGGAGTATTTTCCATAATTTTAGGACGTTGCCCTTCGCAAATACTTACAGCATCACACTCTTCATACATAAATGGAGGATTACCTGATGTAAATTCCCACATAATCATTGAAAAACTATAAATATCACTTGCTTGTTTATATGATGGATTTCCCCCTAATATTTCAGGCGCCATAAAAGGCAAAACTCCACGATTTTCATGATCTTGTAAATCATTTATATGTTTACATAATCCTAAATCAATAATAAATAACTCATTGTAATTATCTGAAATTAATATATTACCATCATGAAAATCACCATGAGCTAAATTTGATTCATGAATTACTTTAAGTCCTAATATAATTTTTTTCAATAATTGCAACTTTTCTTGCCACTTAAATTTAACTATCTCAGATAAGCATTTTTTTAAATTTCCCTTCTTTGCATAACTCATTATTACTAAATAATTTAAATTATTTGGATCTTGGGTAAATCCAAAGTATTGAATAAATTTCGAAAATGATTTTTTCTGACAATTATAGTGATATTTCCACTATACAAATAAATAAAAAAAATTATTAAATTTTTTTAAAAGTAAATAAAATTTGCTCATTGAATATATGTAAATACTATACCTCATCCAGAAATTTATCATTTAAATTCGATGGATTCTTAAGCACTTTAAGAGCGACCTCATATCCCATTTGTCTATTCCATTGTTGTTTTTCAAAATTCCAACTATAAATAGGCCCATCTGACCAAATAGCTTTATGAATTTCACTATCTCCACCTTTATCATGATAATTAATACTTGAAAGTTTATTATAAGGTATCCACTCTAAAATTTCATAACTACTTTTGGCATTTTGCTGTGCTTCTTGAATAAATTTATCAATAGATTCATTTTTACTAGTCCACTTTGAAAAATTCCTTTTTAATCGTTTAGTATTACATTTTTGACACCATTGGTAATTACTATATGGTCGTCTGCATTCATTGCATAATTCATTCTTATTTTTAAAACTTACACCATCACTTTCTGCTGCTTTTTGATGCCAATAAAGGGCTTTTTCTAAATTCCTTTCTGTTCCTTTCCCATCTTTGTAATATATAGATAAACTATTCATTGCTTCTTTGACACCATTCTCTGCTGCTTTTTGATACCAATATAAGGCTTGTTTAAAATTTTTTTTTATTCCTTTTCCATTTTCGTAACATCTGCCTAATAACCACATTGCGCCAATGTTACCATTTTCTGTTGCTTTTTGATACCAATGAAAGGCTTTTTCCAAATTCTTTTTTGTTCCTACTCCAAGTTCATAACATAAGGCTAAACTAAAAATTGCTTCTTCTTGACCATTTTCTGCTGCTTTATGATACCAACAAAAGGCTTTTTTTAAATTCTCTTCTGTTCCTTCGCCATATTCGTAACATGTGGCTAAATCAAACATTGCACTAGTCTGATCATTTTCTGCTGCTTTTTGATACCAATGAAAAGCTTTTTCTAAATTCTTTTCTGTCCCTTCTCCATTTTTATATCTATTGGCTAAATTAAACATTGCTACCTTATCACCATTTTCTGCTCCTTTTTGATACCAATAAACGGCATTCTCTAAATTCTTTTCTATTCCTTCTCCACTTTCAAAACATATGGCTACATGATTTATAGCTTCTTTATTACCATTTTCTGCTGCTTTATGATACCAATAAAAGGCTTTTTTTAAATTCTTTTCTATTCCTTCTCCATTTTTATATTTATTGGCTAAATTAAACATTGCTTCTTCATCACCATTTTCTGCTCCTTTATGACACCAATAAAAAGCTTTTTTTAAATCCTTTTTTGTTCCTTCTCCATTATAATAACATAGAGATAAATTATACATTGCGTTTTTATTACCATTCATTTCTGCTGCTATTTCATACAAAATAAAGGCTTTTCTTAAATCCTTTTCTGTTCCTTCTCCATAATAATAATTATATGCCAAATTAAACATTGCTTCATCATCATTTTTTTCCGTTGCTTTTTGATACCAATAAAAGGCTTTTTCTAAATCCTTTTCTGTTCCTTCTCCAATATAATAACTATCGGCTAAATTAAGTATTGCAAGAGTATGATTATTTTCTGCTGCTTTTTGAAACCAATAAATGGCTTTTTCTGAATCCTTTTTTGTTCCTTCTCCATTTTTATAACATATAGCTAAATTATACATTGCATCAATTTGTCCATTTTCTGCTGCTTTTTGATACCAATAAAAGGTTTTTTCTAAATCCTTTTCTGTTTCTATTCCAATTTTATAATGCATAGATAACATATACATTGCATCAGTGTCACCATTTTTTGCTGCTTTTTGAAACCAATAAAAGGCTTTTTTTAAATCCTTTTTTGTTCCTACTCCATTTTTATAACATATAGCTAAATTATACATTGCTTTAGTATAACCATTTGCTGCTGCATTTTGAAACCAATAAAAGGTTTTTTTCAAATTCTTTTTTGTTCCTTCTCCATTTTTATAACACATAGCTAAATTATACATTGCATCATTATGACCATTTTCTGCTGCTTTTTGATACCAATAAAAGGCTTTTTCTAAATTCTTTTTTATTCCTACTCCATCATAATAACATATGGCTAAACTAAACATTGCATCTTCAATATCATTTTCTGCTGCTTTTTTATACCAATTAAAGGCATTTTTTAAATTCTTTTTTGTTCCTTCTCCATTTTTATAACACACAGCTAAATTATACATTGCATCAATTTGTCCATTTTCTGCTGCTTTTTTATACCAATAAAAGGCTTTTTCTAAATCCTTTTCTGTTCCTTTTCCAGAATAATACTTATTGGCTAAATTAAACATTGCACCAATATAATCTTTCTCTGCTGCTTTTTTATACCAATAAAAGGCTTTTTCTAAATTCATTTCTATTCCTTCTCCATTTTCGTAATGCGCGGCTAAACTATTCATTGCTTCTTCATAATCATTTTCTGCTGCTTTTTGATACCAATGAAAGGCTTTTCCTAAATCCTTTTCTGTTCCTTCTCCAAAATAATGCTTATTGGCTAAATTAAACATTGCACAAGTATGATTGTTTTCTGCTGCCTTTTGGTACCAATAAATGGCTTTTTCTAAATCCTTTTTTGTTCCTTCTCCATCTTTATAATACATGGCTAAAATATTCATTGCATCTTCATCACCTTTTTCTGCTGCTTTTTGACACCAATGAAAGGCTTTTTTTAAATCCTTTTCTGTTCCTACTCCATCATGATAACATATGGCTAAATTAAGCAT